TGACCATCCCCCCTGGGGGGTGATTTCTCGCTTTCTATCTCTATGTCTTTCTCTGTCTGGCGAGTGCACGCAACCTATAGAAAAAACCTCTCAAAAAAAAAAATAAAAACTGGAAATTTTTATTACATAGTAAAAAATTAAATACAAATGGCATACAAGCAGTAGTGTTCTACGGTCTGTATATTTTCAGGAAAAGAGTAACAAAGATAATTATTAGACATTAATAGGTCAAGGAAGTTATGCTGTAATCTGTAGGATAATCACTAAGAATAATCGAGGACAAAATTACTTCTAAACTAACAGAGGAAAACAGAATTTTTAAAAACAAGATAAAAGTAGACAAGAAAAAAGAGAAAAAAATATAAAACAAATAAGAAAATTAATACTAAAAAGGCAAGGGTTGGCAAATTACAGCATCATCGGCCAAAATTGGTCCATGATTTGCTTTTGTGTATGAAAGTTTTACTGGAACACAGCTGTATTCATTTTATATTGGCTATGGCTGGTTCTACACTCAAACAGCAAAGTTAAATAGTTCCAACAAAGACCAAATGGATCAGAAAGCCTAAAATATTTACTTTCTCAACTGTTACAGAGAAAGTATGATAGCCCCTAAGATAGTAAATTTGAACCCAAGTATGTCAACAATATACTGAATGTACATGGACTAAATCCTCCAAGTTAAAAGACAGATTGTCAAAAATGACTTTAAAAATTATTAAAAAAATTAAAAATTATATATTTTCTCTCTCTCTCTCTCTCTCTCTCTCTCTCACCATAAGAACACAGTTAGACTTCAAGGCAGAAGTAGACTTCAAGGCAAAAGACAAGGGTTGGAGATTTAAAAGGACACTTTACAAAAACAAAAGATCAACTCACAGGAAGATGTAACAATTCTAAATCTGTATTCACCTAATAATACAGTCTTGAATACATAAAGCAAAATCGACAGAACAACATAAATAGAGAAAAATCATAATCAAAATGAGAGTTTTCAATACAACTGAGTACTGATAAGATGAGCAGAATAAAAAACCAATAACCAGGAAAGAACTCTTAGAGTTAAACAACAGAATTAACAGACTTTCCCTAATGAACACATATAGAACCCTATATCTAACAAATGCAAAATCCTGTCTTTTCAGACACTTATCAAGTATTTATCAAAACTGATGCTCTTCTAGGCTATAAGTTACATGTCAACAATTTTCAAAACAATGAAATTATATAGTATGTTATGTACACATAATGGAATTAAGTTCAAAATCAAAATAGCAAAAACACACTTTTTAAAATGAGCATGTATTTGGAATTTGAGAAATATACTTCTAAATAACTCAGGAGGGCAAGGAAACAAAATTAAATTTAAAATACATCCAAACTAAATATAATAAAAATCCTATTTCTCAAAATCAGTTGAATACAGAAAAAGTGATGCTTGAGAGAATCCTTAAGTGAATATATTAGCAAAGAAAAGATCATTAAGTTAAGGATACGATCCCAAGTGCAGGAGATAGAGGGAAAAAAAAGTTTTAAAACCAGAGACAAGAGAAAGGGAGAGGGATAAAGTACCTTCTTGTGGGGTCTGGTCATGATGCTATAACCCTTCTCCTCCATTTCTCTATCCTGTTGGGATTTGGGGCAAGCATACATAAGTATCCAGTGTGCTTCAAAAACTACTGAGGTTTTGTCTTGTACTGAATGGTTTACCATGTGGGATCTGATTTCCTTAAGCATCAGCTCCAGAGTAAAGTTAATATTTAAAGGCAGTAACCCCGTATTATCAAGGTAATGATTTAATTTTCTTGAGAGATTTTTTTTTGGGGGGGCGGGGTTTTGCTACAGGGCGCATGCGCTCGCCAGACAGACAGAGACAGAGAGACAGAAAGCGAGAAATCACCCCCGGGGGGGGGGATGGCCATGCCGCAGTCCCTTCTTCTCCATTCTCCTCTTGGAATCTTGGGCACACACGCACACGTGCCAGGCGTGAGTTTAAGCCACCGGGTCCAGGACTCAAACCGCGGTCAACTACATGGGGGTCCAGCAACATAGCCATTATGCTAACTGCTGGTCCCAAGAGATTTTTTGCTATAAGGCACATGTGATGGCTGAAGAGACAGAAAGTGAGAATCATCCCCTGGAGGGATGGACATGCATCAGTCCTTTCTCCACCATTCTCCTGGGATCTTGGGCATGCACACACACATGCCCAGCATGAGTTTCAAAGCCCCAGGTCTGGGACTCGAACTGCAGCTGGCCATGTGGGACTCCAGTGATATAACCGCTATGCCATCTGCTAGTTCCAAGATAATGATTTTAAGTATGATCATATAAAAAATTATATTGCTAGTGGGACTAGCAATAATACAGTTTTGTTTGTTTGTTTGTTTGTTTTTTTGGAGAGATTTTTGCTATAGGGCATGAGCGCTGGCCAGACAGACAGAGAGAGACAGAGAGACAGAAAGCAGGAAATCACCCCCCCGGGGGGATGGCCACGCCGCAATCCCTTCTCTTCCATTCTCCTCTCAGGATCTTGGGCACGCACGCACACGCGCCCGGCGTGAGTTTAAGCCGCCGGGTCCGGGACTCGAACTGCGGTCTACTATGTGGGAGTCCAGCGACATAGCCATTACGCTAACTGCTGTTCCAACAATAACATAGTTTTAAAAAGTAATCTAGTAGTTTTGAGTTGTTTAATTTTGAGTCATAATCAAATTACACTGATTTTCACTAAGTTTTATATTGACTATTATATTCTAAATGTCTAAAAGAAAATTACATTTTATAAATCTGTAAGATTTAAAAATACATACTTAATGACCAGCAGATGAAATAATGGTAATGTTGCTGGACTCCCATATAGCCTACAGCACCAGTCCCAAACCTGGTGACTTGAAACTCACTCTGGGAATACATGTGTGCATGCCCAAAATCCCAAGAGGAGAATGGAGGAGAAGGGACTGTGCCTGGGGGTGATTTATCACTTTCTGTCTCTCCAGCCAGTGAACACTCCCTATAGCATTAAAAAAAAAAAAAAAAAAATTTTATAAAAATAAAAAAACCTCCCTTTAAAAAAAAAAAAAAATGCATACTTAGAGGCCAGTCCCATAGCCAAGGGAGCCAAATTCCACACAGCCAACCCCAATTTGAATCCTAGTCTTTGGAGCTTAAAAAACACACTGGGGGGACCAGCAGTTAGCGTAATAGCTATGTCACTGGACTCCCATGTAGTTGACCGCAGTTCGTGTCCCAGACCTGGTGGCTTAAAACTCATGCTGGGCGCATGTGCGTGCGTGCTCAAGATCCCGAGAGGAGAATGGAGGAGAAGAGATTGCAGCGTGGCCATCCCCCCTGGGGGGTGATTTCTCGCTTTCTGTCTCTGTCTGTCAGGGGAGCACACGCGCCCTATAACAAAAACCTCTCCAAAAAAAAACACACACTAGGACATGTGCATACATGTTCAAAATCCCAACAGGATGGAAAAAAGGGATTGTGCATAACCATGCTCCTCTGGGGGTTGCTTTCTCCCCTGCTCCATTACTCTCTGGCAAGTGTACACGATTGCTTGCAATTAAAATACAAATAAAAATCTCAAAAATATTTACATACACATAAATATACACATACATATACATACATACATACAGGACTCTTTAAAATAAAAGTTATCATAATAATACGTAATTAAACTATGAGTTCAAAACCTTACTTAGGCTTCTGAAATCATTTTGGCCTGTTTCTTTTAAAAAATGGTAACATTTTATCTTACAAAACTCCTCCACTTTTAAAGCTGTATCATCGTATTATCACATCCAGTGAAAAATAACAGACAATATTTCAAAGCAGCAATTTGCATACAATGGGCTTAACAATGGCACTTTGAGCCACCAAATAGCTCTCAGATATGTAGATGAATATTATCACCCCTATAAAATATAACTAATCATTACTGTAAAATATAATTATTCCTCAGTCTTTTCAGGGAACTGGTTCCAGAACCTTCTGAGACACCAAATCTGCAGATGCACAAGCCCTTATGTGAAATGACAGTACTTGCACATAACCTATGCTCATCCTTCCATATACTTTATTTTTTATTTTATTTCATTTTTTAGAAATGTTTGCCTTAGGGCACATGCACTAGGTGGGGAGAGACAGACAGAGAGAAAGTGAGAAATCACCCTCCCCTCTCAAGTGGATGGCCATGCCGGAATCCCTTTTCCACTCTCCTCCCCAGATCTCGGGGACACTCGCACATACACCTGGTATGAGTTTCAAGCAATCAGGTCTAGGATGAACCACAGTTGGCCACGTGGGAGCCCAGTGACGTAACTACTATGCTATCTGTTGGTCCCTACTTTTAATTTTTTTTAAGAGAAATTTTTGCCAACATGTGCGATTACCAAAGAGACAGAAAACAAACAATCATCCTCCCCTAGAGAGGATGGCCATGCCACAATTCCTCCTCCTCCACTCTCCCCTCAGGATTTTGGGCACATACACATACACACCCAGTATCCTCAAGCTGTTGGGTTCAGGACTCAAACCATGGTCGACCATGTGGGAAACCCTAGCTCCAACCACCATGCTACCTGCTGGCCCCTCATATGCTTTAAATTATCTATTAACATAATTATTATTATTTATTAATGTAATACTCTGTAGAAAGCTGCCATAGTGTATTGTCTAGATAAATAATGACAAGGAAAACGTTTATACAGTACATGTTCAGTACAGACACAAACACCGTAGGCTTAACTTCATAGTAAATGTCAGCCAAAAGATAACATTTTCAATCCATGCAGTTGGTTGAATCAATGGATGCGAATCTCAAATGCATCCCAAAGGACTGACTGTAGCATATTTTTTTTTAAATAGTAAGCTTTCAGAAAGTGTGCATTAACTACTTTATTCTAAATTGAACTAAAGTCTTCTCAGTTATTTATATTCTAACATTTAAATTGATAATAATTAGCTAAATTATTTATAAACATACATACCTTTCTCTTACAAAATCTGCTAGTTCTTTTGTTGATATCTGTCCATGTTTCATATTATGGTACAGGACATCAAAACCACTATTTTTTTCCCCCTAAAATTTAAAAAGATTTTTAGTTTAATAAAAAAAACAGATAAAATTACTTGATAGTACACTAATAAGTAATTTTTAGGCTCAGGTGAGCTTTTTTTCTTAATTTAACAATTGCCGTTCAATGTGTGATTTTAAACTATATCAAAGCAATACTATAGGCTTTGGTAAGTTTGCAATTTACTATATACACATACATACTCTGTAATCACCCACAAAGGTACAATTAATAAAATCAAGTCTGAAATGTTAAGGATTAATTTAGAAAATATAAACATGCAACTTTTAAAACACATTACCAAATCACATTTCAATTTCTTTTACATGCATTAAGAGATTCCTGATTTAACTTATATAAAGGACTCCTATTTAACATAGAGTTTGTGCTTTAGAAATAAATGTTGACATCTCAGTTGTCAGTATACTACTAGTTATAACTAATGAATGCTACAGTAATGCTAAAATCATTATTTTAAGTACTCTGTAAATCTGAAAAGTGAGAAAAGGAATAATTAAAAAAAAAATTGCCAGAAAGCATCTGCAATCACCATAGAGAGACAGTGAGAAAGAGGAAAAGTGGGAAAGCATTCCCCTCCCCTTGGGGAATGGTCACATCACAATCTCTCCTCTATTTCTCCTTCCTTTCAGGATTTTTGGGCATGCACACACGCACACTCAGTATTTTTCAAATCATCAAGTCTAGTACTTAAATCATGCCATCAGCCACGTGGGACCCAGCCACCTTAACCACCACACCACGGGTTGATCCAGAAAAGGAATAAAATTTGAACAAAGGTAACAAGGTATTTGCCGGTCATCAACTAACAGGAAATTAACAGAATGAGATCACTACACAAACCTATGAAGCTTTTATTGCTGTTTAATTGTATAAATCTTAAATTAGTAAATCATAAGAAAACACTGGAAATATCAATTTAAGGGGTCTGCAGGTAGTGTGGTGGTTAAGGTGCTGGACTTCCACATGGTCGACCATGGTTCTAGTCCCAGATCTGGAAACTTGCTTTCTCATTCTCCCACTGTGTCTTTCTCTCTGGTCAAATTGAAGAATAATAATAAAGTAATTAAATTAAATAAATAGTTATTTGTTAAAAAAGAAGCATCAATTTAATAGGTGAAATAAAACATGATTAATAAACTAAACTTAAAATTATCTTTATAATGGACAGTTTTTATTTTTCTTCAGTAAAAATAAAACAAATAACTGAATACATTTTTTGGAAATAAAAGCAGTATCATAAACAAGTATTACACAATCTGAAACTTAATTTTTCCACAGTTTACCAAAAACAGGAAATGCATTATAAGAACTTCGATTATGTTGAAGAGGTCCCTTATAAATTCATCAGCTAATACAGCAAGTAATTAGTCTGCCATACACACAATATATTAAAATGTCATATTTGTAATAATATATCCTTAGTCTTTTTAATACTCACTTCAATTTATCAAGAATATAACATAAAAGTACAGTCTTTTATTAATTTAAACATTTACGCTTGCCTTCTTTAATTTTTCATGTATAAGGTGAAGAAAAAGTTATCTAACTTTAGCTTTTACTTACACTAGTTTTTTCAGGCAAATTTATTCTAGTCAAAAGAAAAATATTCTTTAATATAATGATTATCACTAGTCTATAGCAAGCAAAACTAACATTATTATGCAGATTAGTAAATAAAGTTACAAACAAAATATAAAAGGTCTGAATCCTCTAAGGGATTCCATTAGTTGAAAAAAGTACAAAAACTACACATATGTGATTAGACTATCCACCAACTCCTATAACAGTCTTGAGCCTGGAAATAAGCAAACAAAATCTAAAAAACCTGAAATCTAAAATAATAAAATTCAAGTCTGAAGCTCTCACTCCCCAAGGTTTGCACCTGACACCTATTAGTTCTCATCTGCACATAGTTCTAATAAATAAGAGTATCTATATTCCCAAAGTGCATTATAAATATCTAAAGGGAAAGGGAGAAAGCAAATCGCCAGGTCTGGGACTCAAACTACAGTTAGCCATGTGGGAACCCAGCGCCCTTAATCACCATGCCACCTGCTGGCCCCTATATACCTTTTAAGAGATTTTTGCTACAGGGTACATGAACTTGCCAGAGAGAGACAGAGACAGACAGAGACTGAGAGGGAAAGTGAGAAATCACCCACGGGGGGTGGGGGGCATGCCACAATTTCTTCTCCTCCACTCTCCTTTTGGGATTTTGGGCATGCATGCACATGCACCCAGCCTGAGTTTCAAGTTGCTAGGTTCAGGATTCAAACTGTGGTCGGCCACATAAAGTCCAGAGCCCTAACCACTAGGACACCTGCAGGCCTAGCTTATCTTTTCAATTTGTTAATTAAAATTCTTACTGAGAAATTTTGACTATTAACTGACAAAAACTACTAACACCATTGCTGGTCCAAGGAAGACAATTTGATGGTATTTTTTATTCATATATCTCAAAGCATTTTATAAAGACATAGCACTCTCATTTTCTGTCCACTGACTGTTCCCAGTGGCAACATTATTATTAAAAAAAAAGAAAAAACAAGTGTTCAAAATCTTTCTAATTACTGGGAACCAGCAGTTAGCGTAATGGCTATGTCGCTGGACTTCCACGTAGTCACCCGCGGTTCGCGTCTCGGACCCGGTGGCTTAAATCTCACGCCGGGCACGTGTGCATGTGTGCCCAAGATCCCGAGAGGAAAATGGAGGAGAAGGGACTGCGGCGTGACCATCCCAGGGGTGATTTCTCGCTTTCTGTCTCTCTGTCTATCTGGCGAGCGCACGTGCCCTATAGCAAAAACCTCTCCAAAAAGAAAAAAAAAAATCTTTCTAATTATTCTATCCTTAAAATATTTAAGTCCAGAATCATACAGGCCTTTTCTGAAAGAACACAAATTACTCAGTACCTATCATTTCCACATACTTCTCTAATTAAGATGACTGTGGCTAACAGTACGATGTGTGTCAGTTCAAATTTCTTTTTGTAAAAATATAGTGACAAGTTGCTTTTTAATAGGAAAATGAGATATTATCTTATTGTGTGCACCAAAATTATCAGTTAAATAGAAGTTTAGCTAAAAAGATAGTTAAGCTATAATATCTTATTTATAATAATATCACCAAGTCATGGAGAATGTTTAGATTTTTTCCTAATTCAAGAGCCCATAAGTGAAGTATCCTTGAAATTTTAAATTAAAATATTTAAGTAAGGCATTAAACTTATTCCTGAAACCCAAAGGCATTTTTTTCTGGTTAACACAACTTCGTAATTAAAAATATATGGAAACCAAGAGAGTTCAAAAAGTTTGTGGAAAATGTGAATTATGAAAAAACTGTGAGTGGGTTTTTTTCCCCCTAAAGAATTTTTTATTGGGTAACCAGAAGATGGCATAATGGTTACATTGCTGGACCATCACTTCATCAACTGCAATTTAAGTCCTGGACCCAGTGGCTTAAAAGTCACACCAGGTGTGCATGCATGCATGCCCAAAATCCCAAAGGAATATGGAGAAGGGATTGTGGCGTGGCCATCCCCCTGAGGGGTTATTGCTTTCTGCCTCTCTGTCTCTGTCCTTTGGGCAAATGTACATGGACTACAGTAAAAACTCTCTCAAAAAAAAAAAAAAAAATTAAGAATTGCTTATTGGGACCAACAGATGGCATAATGGTTACATTCCTGGACTCCCACGCAGTCAACCGTGGTTCGAGTCCCAGACTCAAAACTTATGCCAGGGACGTATGCTTGTGTGCCCAGGATCCTGAGAGGAGAATGGATTGTAGCATGGCCATCCCCTCAGGGGATGATTTCTTACTTTCTGTTTCTCTGTCTCTCCAGTAAATACACATAACCTATAGCAAAAATCTTTCTAAAAAATTAAATAAATAAAAGAATGGAATAATAATAATAATAATAATCTGGAAAAAAATGAAAAGCTATTGAATGATGATGATGGGGATTTTTTTTTAATTTTATTTATTCATTCATTTAGTTTAACTTGACCAGAGAGAGACAGAGAGAGAGAGAGAGAAAGGGAGAAAGGAAGCCGCCAGGTCCAGGACTCGAACCGTGGTCAGCCATATGGGAGTGTCCAGCACCTTAACCACCATGCCACCTGCTGGTCCCAATAATGGGGATTTTAATGTCTTTGTATTGACTGATATTGCATGGTATTCCTTCTGGAAAAAGAAATATAATACACTGTAAAGTTATATGTGATTCAATGTAATATAAACAAGATTATGATATTAAATAAATTTTTAAACATTTTGAAAAAATAAAAGTATTATTGATTTATTTAATTTGTTGTTATTAGTTTTTCTTTATCCAGAGAGAGAGAGAGAAAGAAAAAGAAAGCAAGCAAACCACCAGACCTAGGACTCAAACAAAGGTCAGCCATGTAGGAGTCTAACACCCCAACCAACAAGTCACCTGCCAGTGCTACTATATGTAGATTTTAAGATTTAGATATATATATAAAATACATACTTTAATTCCATTTTTCCATAAACTTTTCACGTCTCTTCACATAATACTGGGTGACCAAAAAAAGTCACAACATATTTTTCTGTTCGTCTATGCAAAAATGAATCATGACTTTCCTGACGACCCTATACAGTCTAAAATATTTCCACCTTAAAAAAAAGATTTGAAACTTCAACAAACTTAATGGCAAAAGTAAACATTATAAATAAAACATCTGGATATTTTTCACTTCTGACAAGTCCAAGGGTTGGAAAATAAGCAGAAGATAGACTGAATAGTATATAATCACATTACAAATTAGTAAGTTGGTCTTACCAAGTTTCCTTTCGGATTTTTTTTTTGGGGGGGGGAGAGGTTTTTCGCTATAGGGCGCGTGTGCTCGCCAGAGAGACACAGAGACAGAAAGCGAGAAATCACCCCCCAGGGGGGATGGTCACGCCACAATCCCTTCTCCTCCATTCTCCTCGCGGGATCTTGGGCACGCATGCACACGCGCCC